ATAGCCAGCGCTACAGAGAAACGGAAAAGAAGATCTGAGAGAGACTGTGGTGCCCGAGGAGGGACAGAGAGCAGTAGTCAAGGTGAGCTCATAAAGAAGGTGAGACATGAACTCAGATTTGAAGAAGACCAGGGGATTAGCCAAAAGAAACTGTTCCTCATCAGCCATGCAACCTGAGACAAGTAACATAGAAGCTCCGGGCCTTGATTTTCTCATTTGTACAATGGGATATTGATCTAGATGATCCAGACTACAGCCCTTTTACATTCTTAAATTCTGTAAACTATGCTTCAGCTCACGCTGGCTTTACAGAATCAAAGCAGTCATCTAGTTCAGGTTCCCTAAGCCCACACAATGTGTCATGTGTCGCTAAATGCTAAGGATGCCGCAGAAATTAAGAAAGGCTCATTAGGATAGTGGTAATTCGGAAGCGTCTTATTACACTCATTCATTTATTCAACAAACATATATTAAGCACCTACTATGTGCCAGGTACTGCTCTATAGCTGCGGTGTGACAAAGCTGACAGTCTGATGAGGAAGGGGAGGCATGATAGCAAGAAGTAACACATGCCACTCTGGGGCAGAGGGGTTAGAGACGCATGCAGGAAGGAGGAACCAACCACACTGAGTGGGCAGTGTCCACTTTCACCAGGGATTCTGGATCCACATTATTTTTTCTACCCATAGAGATGAACTTTTGACAATTCTTTCTTCAGAAAAATCTAATTGTTTTATCTTTTGAGAAAAGTGACAATAACTTTTACTTGTTAAACGGAAGGGAACAGTTTTCTGAGATTTCCTCTTACTATTCTTTTAAAAAATTAAAAGTAGCTTATCTGTGTTCATCTAGTAAGTATATTAAGGAAAATATTACTAAAGTTTGGGAAACTTCAGTTTCTCCAAGGGAAGTAAAAGTGACCAGATAATATTTAATACTATTGGAGAAATTTTTTTCCTTTTTAAATTGGCACTGGAGCTAATACCTGTTGTCAATCTTTTTTTTTTTCCTTCTCCTTCTTCTTTTTCCCAAAGCCCCCCAGCACATAGCTGTATATTCTAGCTGTGAGTGCCTCTGGTTGTGCTATGTGGGACGTCACCTTAGCATGGCCTGATGAGCTGTACCATGTCCACACCCGGGATCCGAACTGGCCAAACTGCGGGCTGCCGAAGCACAGCGGGCAGACTTAACCACTAGGCCACGGGGCCGGCCCCTATTGGGAAATTTTAAACTGTGAAATTAAAGAGGGAAAAGAATTCAACTTATCCAATGTTTACTTCATTAGAACTAAGGTAATGATATGGTTCTGTCAACAAATCAATTTGTAAAGTATGAGCTTTTTCCATCAGTATTTGTGCTCCCTTTTCTGTTTAAAAATCAGTTTTCCATGACAGTGAGGCAGTAATTAACATGACAATGACAACTAGCATCTATTAGGAGCTTAGTGTGTGCCAGGCTTGGTACTAGGCACTTTTCTTTCTGTCTTACTTTTTTGAGGAAGATGAGCCCTGAGCTAACATCTGCCGCCAATCCTCCTCTTTTTGCTGAGGAAGACTGGTCCTGAGCTAACATCCTCGCCCATCTTCCTCTACTTTAGATGCAGGATGCCTACCACAGCATGGCTTGCCAAGCAATGCCATGTCCACACCCGGGATCCAAACCGGCGAACACTGGGCCGCCGAAGCAGAATGTGTGCACTTAACTGCTGTGCCATTGGGCCAGCCCCATAGGCACTTTTCTATATATTATCTAATTTAATTCTCACAAAGCTCTATGGAATAAACAGTGATTATGCCCAATTTTATAGATGAGGTAACTGAGACTTAAAAAGATTAAGTAAATTGTCCAAGGTCTAAAGTCAGTAAGTAGCTTTAGGGGAAAAGCTCTTGAACTTGTCATCAGAAGACCTGCATTTGAACTCCAGAGGCAGGAAGCATTGAATCTCTGACCCAGAGAAGGTCAAGCAGTTATGTATTCAATACAACTATAACTGTTTTGCTTTTTCCATTAGTTAATGATCAGAAAATTTTTTTGCTGTCTATGTAAATGTCTTCTTAAAAGTTGTATTTTAAAAAGTATATTCATCATCTTTGACATTCTACTGGTAATTCAAAGTCTACCCAAAGAGTTTTTAAACCTGATCTAAGTATTTTAAAAAGTGTGCTGTTGTGTGATTTGGTACTCCATATAAAATTCTTCCTAATGGTCTCAAGTTTCAAAGGATTTAGAAGCTGTTTGACAAGGCGCATTATGAAATAAGGAATATAATCCGTTAGTTTAGAATGTTATACAGATGGTATTAACAGCAGCCATCTCTTCCTGTAGAAGGATTTGAGGAAATTGCTATCCCCCACATTGAGGACAGTATATGATATACAAGCTAATATCTTGATTGCACATTCTTAGCAGACTCCATGGACAAGCGAAGTTTGCTTTCTTGTGTAGCCAAACGGATTCAATAAAAAAATTAAAGAGAATGAATTAGTACATGTGCAATTTTATCTAAATCTGTGTCTTTCGACATAGGAAGCCGGGAGAGTTTCCTTTTTCATCATCAGAAAAATGCTTTTCACTAGAAATGCTTTGCACAAGGGTCTACACTTGCCATTTCCTTTCCAGGTAATTTGATTTAAAAAAAATTTTCTTAAGCCAAATTAAATTTTTTTGTGCTTATATCTCTGTAGAAGCTTCCACAACAAAATTTGGAGGAAGCCTTTAGAAAAATAATTAAGTAACTCTTATGCATGAGACTCAAGAATGTATCATCAAAGTGTTGAGCATTTTTATCAAGGCAGCAAAGGAGAATCTGAGGACGATGTGCATTATTCCGCTGATATCATTCAGTCCTGGGGAGCTTAGAGTATAAAAATAGAAAGTTAATGAAAAATGGGAGATAGAAAAAGTGTTTTTGCAGTAATGTGAATTTTGAACAATTTTCTATCACTAAGAGAAGCTCATACTGCTTATCAGTACAATTCAGGAATTTGAGATTTAGATTACTAATTTAATCATCTGACTGCAAAATTCTTATCAAATTCTTATCCCTCTGGGCCATGTTTGATAAATAAAAGTTTTAAATATAAGAAAATAATCCAGTATTTCAAGTAAGTAATGATATTTTCTGCTTTAGTGATTGTCTACTTTCCCTTACGGTTTATTTTTGGCCTGTAGAAGACAACTGAAATCATGGCAGGCCAGTGGGAAGTCTTCCTCTGAAGGACTGAAGAACATGAAAGTTCAACCTGAATGCTGTTATAAAGGAAACAACTTTTTTATTGGATAAAAATTAATAAGAACAGGCATTTGGAGCAATTTGAAAACGAATTCTAAAGTGTGGACATAGTATTACACTCCTGACCCAAATTGCATTTCAGTATTAAGTTTCCCAAGCAAAATATAGGCCTTGTCGTTTTATTACTTGAAAGCTCTGAGCAACTTTCTAAGAATATGAATTTGCAATTAAAATGAAGTGGACTATCAAGGCATTTAAAAAAATTTGAGAGTGTATGCAAACAATCTGGATAGTTCTGATACCTCGGGTCAGAAATTTCTTTGCACTAAATTTCAACGGAATATATGTAACTGGAAAGGCCGGAGCAGCAGAAGTTTTCCCTGCTGAGAAAACTCGAGACTGACTTCTAAACTCCCCAGGAGTAAAAATGTATTACAGTTTTAGGGGCAATTTAGACTAAATGGTTTGTACATAGTTAATAAGATAGGTATCTCTCTAATAGTTACTTGAAACCACAGCTTAAGGTTATTTTACATCAGATTTAAAACTGCTATTGTTAATAATAACTAGATATTATTACCATTTTGGCTGAATTGAATTCTGTGACTAGACGTTAAAAGGATGTTATTCCTCATCAGAAATCTCTGCGTGTAAATATAGTCTTTGGGAAACAGCTCTGATTCTACCATATTAAAAGAATCAGCTGAATCAGCAGTTGCATAGTAAAATTTATGATTATATAATTCCTTTTCACAGTCCAAGAGTGAAAAACATAAAGCTATTGGAAGCAAAGAGAACTGAAAGAGTCATGTCTAAAATAGGTGGACGCTGTCAAATTCAAAATTCTATTTGGGTAGTCATGCATACAGGAAAATACTTTTAGCCAGACTTACACTATCATTTGACCTTCACAAGTCATACTTTCCAACCGTGAATGCAGTTTTCTGAGACTATACTTTTGACCTTGAAGATATAACTTGATATTTTATGTCTCTTAGCAAACTTATAATGCCTCTGGTCCCTAAACTGAGGTCATCTAAAATTAATATCATATCTTTAAATGGTTAAATTCTGTAATTCTTATTTTAATTATTCAGCACACAAGGGCAAAGTGGGAAGCTACAGTTCCTTTAGAACTATCTTTCTCTTACTGCATAGGTCTCTCAGCTTTCTTAATGCAGGATGTCCCTCAGCTGAAGCTGGGACTGAGGAAATAGCTGCATTGCACTGCAGCCTCCAGTCTCGCCACAGCTCCCAGGCTTAGGATTTAGCTGAGCTGAAAAGATAGATGCAGGGGCAGTATATTGGTCCGTGGGGCTTAAAGCTTTACCGAAGGAGATTATAATAGGGTAAGTTACTTTCTTTCTGAACCTTAGCTTGTCTGACTTTCATTTTCACGTTGTTTTTTCTCAGTGATTACTCTAACAGAATGACCTTACATCGTAAGTTTTACTTCCTATTTCTGCCCCCTTTTGCCTTTTATTTAAACAGATTTTATGCCTTCCATTCTACTTAGAAGACAGCAACTGTACTAAAAAGGCTTCAACAATTGCAGCAACTCCCTGCAGTTGGACAGTCTTAAGCCATTCCACTTTAATTGTCCCCAATTCTTAACTCTACTGTAATGCAATAGCATTCAGAAGCCAGGGAGCTTGTTCACCAATTAGCAGAAAGGAAAAGAAAAAGTCAGTGCAGCAGAACGAAAATTAAGAAACACTAATCAAGCATCTCAACTCTAAGTAACTTGAAATTAATTTGACTTTCTTACCTTGGATGTGAATAACTCTGTCGTGATCTAGAGTGTAGTTGTCTGAACGGTGATCAGCCCCGCAGATTGAAATCAGCACCAGAAGAAGTAGACTCTTCATCTTTGTAGCCCAGAGAATCTTCTTCACTGTAAGAGCATCGCATACAAAGAGGCATGTGAGATTTGGAACCCTTTGGAGTGTTGCACTGCACAACTTATTACCGCCTTATCATCATAGAATGGGTCTGTACAAATATTTAACCCAATCTGTTCAGAAAGTTCCTGTAGCTGTCTTTGAGAGCTGAAGACTGCAGCTTTGAACAATTCCAGTTTCCTTTATGTAGCCAGAGTCCAAACAGTGTTTAACTCTATCTTTGCAGAATTGTAAATCTAGACATTTAAAACAGTATAATTTTGATATAGAGAGTTACGGCAAGTTACAAAGAGATGTGGCAAGGACATAAATAAACTTAAAAAAATTTAAACCTTTGGCTTTGAAATATAAGTTAATAAAACAACAATTTGATATATATATATATATATATATATATATATGAATATTTATCATATTTATCACCTGGTCTAATTAGGAACTGAATCTTAAACCAGGGCAAATCAAGAATATTTTCATGAAACTGGACATCATCATTCATTTTACATGTGGCTTCCTAAGCAGGTTAGATTCTCTTGTTCCAAATAGAAAAGAGGCCAAAAAAAAATGCCTGATTAAGCAGAAGCAGCACATTTGATAGAGACTGACTTACCATCTTACATACTGCTTGGGTCTGTGATGAATAGTTGAAAATTATGGACAAACTAGGTTAGAATTGTGCGTGCTCCCACTGCAGTCATCCTGATTGATTTTTCATTCATTTCTACCTAAAATGCTGACGCGCCAACTTAGAGTGCCAGGTAGGGTCCCTGCAGTCAGCAGAGCCACGGCTGCAGGGACTGTCCCTGCCAGCCTCGCAGGGCAATTAGGCAAATGAAGAGCAGAAATAGACAGGGAGGCGCAGCTCTGGTCCTAAGTGACACAGGCAGAGCCATCACTTGGCTGTCCTTTATTGAAAGAACAATTTAATTAGAAAAAATTCCCCCCCCCAAATATAATCATTGGAAGGACCAAGAAGTGATTCCAAGTGATACAAACCTTCGACCTTTGCAACATTTGCCAGGCAAGAATTTCAGGGTCGCTCCTCTGTTGTAATGTGGAAGCTGAGGCAAATATTAACAAGGGCTTTCTTTTTCTCTCATGCACACAGCAGCCTTAACAATACTTGGCTATTTTTAAAACTGAAATTGCACAGTACTGGCTTCTCACACTAATTTGTTTTTTCCAGGAAAGCCTGACTCTCTGGAATACTTATTAAAGAGCTCTGAGTCTGTTCCTGGAGGTCCTTGAGGGCCAGCCTCTCTACTCCACAGCCTAAGGCACCGTTCACAGAAGTGTGCCGTGTCCGTGTCTCCCCCAACCCGGCCTTTCCTGGGACCCAAGTGCCTCTCTGCATTCTCCCCTCTGAAAATCAGCAGTGTTGTGATACTGATGACTTCAGTCTTTCATGTCTATCTTAACTCTTTTCTTTTTCTTCATTATATCACAGAAAGAAGATGGTGGATGAGCAAACGGAGAAACTCATTTTTCCAGGAAACTAAGAGTGCCATCTTCAAAATTCTACCTGATTTACTGATCTTCTATTCAGAAGTTCACTTGCTTGTTCCTCTGAGGATGTTTTGGAAATGATTATTTTTTTGAAGCTACTGATTTTTCTCCATAGGAATATTATGCACATATATCACCTATTTCAACCCAGAACTATGCTTTGGGTGAACAAACAGAATAAAGCTGACCTTTTGGCATTTGGAAGATAATTGGGGCGATTGTAGACACAACCTAAAACACTGGCAAACCAGCACAAGAGGTGTCCTGGGCTCTCTGCTTGCCACAGGAATCAGAGGGGAGGGGGAAAGTGGAAGAGAGAGTGGAGGAAAGCATACCATTTTACCTGTTAAAGAGAGGAGACATTCTAGGTAAGGGGTCAAGATGAGCAGAGGCAGAGAATTTGCTACATTATTTTTCACATAGTGTGGTCATTCACAGTATAATTTATAGGGAGTTGTATACCTACCACAACACACACACACACACAGGGTTAGAGTTCTGCAAACTACTGTTGCAGGAACCTTGATTTTTATTCATTTTTACGTAAAATCTATTACACAAAAATTTATATATCTCCTTGAATTCCATACCAAAGCATTAAAAACTTTACCACTAAAGGTTCGTTTCATTGAGCTAAGGTATTAACTGTCCAGCAAGCAAATTTTAAAAATGCAAACATCCTGGGGGAGGGAATTAACAATAACAAGAACAGCAGGAATTCCTTTTAGTTGAATGTCTACTATTTGCCAAGCACCATGCTAAGTATTATGCACAAAATGGCGCATGCAGTCCTTATAATAATTCCGTGGGACAGATATTTCCATTTTTCCTGACACAGACCTTGCTGAAGGTTGCACATCAGTAAGCAGGAAAGTTTGTATTCACTTTCAAGCAAAAACAACACCTACTTTGAGTTGCCCTTATTTTTCTGAAAGAGAAAATTAATTTGTTATTTGTTTTATTGTCTTTTTTTATTTAGGTCCTTTAGCGAGAACCTACTATGATCTTAAAACTTAAACTTGTGTTATATGTGAATACAAACCTTTTTTCCAAGACTTACCCAAGAGAAGTCAGATGACACTTGTCGTAGCATGATTGTGCCCTGCCTCGTCTATACCACCACCCTGGCGCCACGGACACCGCCTCAGTGGCTCATGTGTGCTCATACACATGCAGTCACACACGCCATCTTCAATTTTAAAAAGCCAAGGATACCGCACCTCTTCAGTGATTTGTGATTAAAATAGAAGCATCCGTCAGCAAACACTTCCAAGTACCCCACACTGGCACTGACGCACTCCAGGTAGGAGTGAGCTGACGTATGTTATCTTTGCTACCGTAGTGCATAACATCTGTCTCACCAAAAGATGCGAAACTAGAAATGAGAACTTAAGGGGCAATCTTCAGGTGTTTCAGCAAACTGCAAGTATAACACGAGATACGGCACACTAGATCGAGGTCCTTGAGGACAAGGCCGTGTGAGCGGTCTGTGTGCCGGTCCTCAGAGAAGGACGCCTCAATGTAGTAGGAGGTCATGTGAGTGAATGAATCTGAATTTTGCTTATTTGCATTTTGTAATGATGTCTTTTCCAAATATCTACGTATGCTAGGTAAAAGTTTTTAGTTTTAATATGAGTAAAATTTAGGAAATTTGGGGGACTTTTATATAACTGGCTATTGCCAGCCTTGAGTTAGCACTCTGGGTTCACCTGCCACTCACACCTTGATGGTCTCTTTTTACAGCCTAACTTCCCTGCTGCCCTGATGCTCCAGCCAGCTTCCAGATGAGTTCAGATTGAAATGGCTGTGTTCAGAGTGAAAGACACATGATAGGACGGTAATTTCACAGTTCTGCTTTGGTGATAATTGAACCCCTATTTGAAAGGAACATACTCTAACCAGCGTAGAAGTCTAATAGTTTAATAGAAACAAAGATATACTTTTGCCGATAGTCTAATACAAAAGTAGCCAGTTGCTATTCCCTACACACCTACAACGGTAAAATTATTGTATCCGATAACGGAGAAATAGAACCAAGTGGAAGGCATGCCTGCTATTTTCTGTGCCTTGAGGGCTAATGCCACTATTTCCTGAACTGCTATTCCATGCCAGGCACTGTCCTTGAAGCTTCATCTATTTAATCATCATTTCTCAGAACAACTCAGTTGAAGTAAGTATGTTAGTCTACACATTTTACAGTTCTGGAAATGGAGTCAGAGTAGCGAAGTCCCCAGCATGTAAAGCCAGGAGCTGGGATCTGGGCAACCTGCGCTCCCCACCGCTGTTACTGGTGTCCTCGAGGAGCGTCCTCAGCTCTCCTAGACAGCTCTCACAACTCTTTCAAGGCTTCCCACAAGCTGGAATGTCCCTCCCACCCCTCTCTCGGGGTTGTAGGTGTAGCACTGATCACAGCCCTGTTTGCACAAGACGCCTATGAGTTCAAAGCCTGAATGCTTTTCCCCACTGCATGCTCCACACTGAGAACCGTCCCGTGTGCCCAGGGGAAGGAGGAGTGGAAACTGAGACGTGGGAGAAACAGTTACAAGGACTAAAGGAGCCAAGACCAGGGGGAGTTTTACACTGGTTGAAGATTACGTGTGTTAGTATACGGAGAATGGTGAAGACTTACTTTTTTCTCCATTGAGGGTGTAATGAAATAAATCAGGTTTCAATCTCCCACTTAAAATTTAGTTTAAAAATCAAGAGAATCAAGGGGCAGGCCGGTGGCATAGTGGTTAAGTTTGTGCACTCCGCTTTGGTGGCCAAGTCTTCTTGGGTTCTGATCCCAGGCTCAGACCTATACACCACTCATCAAGCCATGCTGTGGCGGTGTCCCACATACAAAATGGAGGAAGATTGGCACAGATGTTAGCTCAGGAGCAATCGTCCTCACACACACACACACACACACACACACACAAATTATGAGAACCAATACAAAGTTTGCCAGAAATTGAATGAGCAAACCATAGAATCTCACTTGACAGAATTATTTTAAAATACACTGAATCTTCTCCTCCTTGATACCTTTTAAGTTTGATCTCGTTACAGGCAGTGTTTCCTAAAAGTTGGTCAGTGGTGCAGTGACATGAAAAAAAAGAGAGAGAGAAAAGGGACTGCAAGAGTGTACTTTTTCATTAGATTAAATTAATTCAATTTAAAAAATTAGTTTGTTTTCTAAAGTAACTTTTCTTACCTTTTTGATACCTGTTAGAATGACTGTTATTTCACAGAATTAGAAATTTTAGACTTTTCAAATTCTAGATTATTCTATCCTTACTTAGCAACTGTATTTTTTTTAGATGACAACCTTCTGCTGGCTCATCAAGTGTTTTGTTGGTGGTGGTTGGCTTTGTTTTCTGTTTTGACTCTCCAGGTGTGTAAAATCCAGGTCAGACCACTGACCCAAATGATGGTGAAAGAACTCAGACTACTGATGCATTTGAATTGTTCAGTGTGTGGAGGGATGACTGGATCTTCACCTAAG